TGACAAACTATGGACAACATTGCGAAGTATGAGAATTCTGGAACACTTAATTGTGCTTATGAGGAACCTGTACGTGGGCCAAGAGGCAATTGTTCAAACAGAACATGGGAACCATGAATGGTTTAAAATTAGGAAAGATAAGCGACAGGGTTGTATTTTTTCACCATACTTATTCAACCTGCATGCTGAGCAAATAATCTGAGATTGGGTTATATGAAGAAAAATGTGGCCTCAAGATTGGAGGAAGACTCATTAACAACCTGCAATATGCAGATGATGCAATCTTGTGTGCTAAAAGTGAAGAGGACTTAAAATACTTTGATGAAGATCAAAGAGCACAGCCTTCAGTATGGATTGCATCTCAATGTCAAGAAAACAAAAATTCTCACCACTTAACCAATAAACAACATTCTTTTCAATGGAGATAAGAATGAAGTTGTCAAGAACTTCATTCTTCTTAGATCAACCATCAACACTCATGGAAGCAGCAGTCAAGAAATCAAACGACATGTTGCTTTAGGCAAATCTGCTGCACAAGAACTTTTTGAAGTGTTGAAGAGCAAAGGAGTCAGCTTGAAGACTAAGGTGCACTTGACCCAAGCTAGGATATTTTCAGTAACCTCATATGCATATGAAAGCTGAACAGTGAATAAGGAAGACTGTAGAAGAATCGATGCATTTGAGTTATGGTGTTGGAGGAGAATATTGAAAGTATCATGGGCTGTCAAAAGAACAAACAGATCTGTGTTGGAAGAAGCATGTGCTCCTTGGAGGCCAGGATGGCTAAACTTCGTCTCTCATACTTCAGACATATTGTCAGGAGGGACCAGCTGCTGAAGAAAGATATCATGTTTTGTAAGGTAGAGGGTCAGAGAAAAAGAGGAAGACCCCCAGCGAGATGGATTGGCAAAGTGGCAGCATCAGTACACTCAAGCGTGGCAACAATTGTGAGGTTGCCCCAGGACCAGGTGTTTTGTTCTGTTGTGCATAGGGTTGCTATGAGTTGGTACCAACTTGATGGCACTTCACAACAACAACATGAATCAGATCCATAGACTTTCTATTTTCTAAAACTTCTAACTTAGTAGAAATTAGTTTTGACTGTTTGTGGCTACTGTTCTAGCTGATTTGTTAAATATATTTCTTTTCTTTAATGTTATCAAATTGAAGTTTTTTGTTTGTTTCTTTGTT